TAAATCTATATCTTTCATGCATAGGGGACTTTATCTCGATTCCTTATTAAAGATAAGTCTACATCTAACGTACGTTGTCGGGTTGTTTATTCCCGTAAAAATAACGAAGTCTATGTATTCAATATCGTAGCACTTAAATCTATGTCTTTCATATATAGGAGACTTTATCTTGATCCCTTATTAGAGATAAGCTTACGTATAACACACGTTACCAGGTTGCTCATTGCCGTAAAAATGACGAAGTCTATGTATACAATAACAAAGCATTTAAATCTATGTCTTTCATGCATATGGAACTTTATCTCGATCCTTTATTAGATATAAGCCTACGTCTAACACAAGTTGTCGGGTTGTTCATTCCCGTAAAAATAACGAAGTCTACGTATTCAATATCGTAGTATTTAAATCTATGTCTTTCATGCATAGGGGACTTTATCTCGATCCCTTATTAGAGATAAGTCTATGCCTAACACACATTACCGGGTTGTCCATTCTCGTAATAATGATAAAGTCTATGTATTCAATATCGTAGTACTAAGTCTAAGAGAATTTATTCTTTTAGCATAATATCATATGTAGAACGGACTTATACAATCCGTATGCTAGCCCGACTCAAATGGTAGTCGGTAAAAGCTCATCAAATTCGTTAATGGCTGAGAGTTTGCCAAAAATCCTATGAGTATTATGTTTATTTATTCCAAACAGAATGCGTAATCATAATAGAAAGAAAACCATCACAAAGTTCATTTTTATTCATAAAGGGAGATAAAAAAATACAAGAACGGTGACATCAGTCTATAGAGAGTTTGCGACTACGGATCTACCCCTCGGAACACGGGATCTTTTGGGCGACATGGTAAAAAGTGGATTTTGATCGGAAATCTACAAGAAAAGTTAGGGTTTTAGGGTGAGATCTTGAATAAAGATCAAAATAACCTGAGATCCAAGCCTTAGACTCGGCCTTGATCAAGGATCAAAAGAAATAAGTGCACGAGGGAGAAAACATGAAGGGCAAGAATACAAACCTTAAAGAACAAACTCTGAAACCCTAGGTTGAGATCCCCTTTAGATCAAGATCAACCAAAGATGAAGGAACTCAAGGGGTTTGGGGACTCTTTTATAGACATTTGAGGAAGTTTTGAATTTGAGAAGGTGTTTAGAAGATAGGAAAAAAAAGACCACAAATTCAGAAACTTAAAACCTCAGATCCGATTGACCGACTTTGTGCGAGACAGTCGACATTGTCTCGCACGTGCGAGACAGTGAAAACTGTCTCGCACACACGAGGAGACAGTGAGGACTGTCTCGCACAAAGGGTTGACCAGTGAGCATTCAATGCATTTTTAGGCCATCTCTAGTACATCCTTAACTCATTCTGGTACATCTACGACACTCCGATGAGTATACGAGTATAAACTATTTTTTTGTGAACCTCTGACTAGTATATGAGGTTAAATTATTCATTAAAACTCAAATGAGTATACGAGTATAAACTGCTTCTCCATGCTCTAACACCTTAAGAGATTAAACTGTGTAGACTCTAGCTACGTATGAGTATAAACTGTGGTTACACCGCAACAATAGTTAGTATTCAGCAACACTCCAGCAGTTATGCCAAGATTTTGAAAGTTCAACACACGTTGTGTTAATCTTCTTTTAAAATCACCCCTAGAAGTTTAATTGCAATCAAGCTACAGGCTCCTAACAAAGATGATAAGTTTAACGTCAACTCAACGACACGAGCTAATTCAATTTCTCAAAAGTCAACATATCAACTTTAGTTCTAGATTTCGATAATTGTCAGCGACGTCGTAGTACCAGAAGTATTTTAGACTACTCAATAAAATACTGAGAAAGCTAAAAACTGAAGAAATCAAAGAACTAAAGCTACTTACGGGTCCTTCTACACAGTCCAACATTAGGCGAAAGCAGGACTTATCTTATCCAAAGTATTTTAGACTCCTCGATAAAATACTAAGGAGACTGAAAACTTAGGAGGGGATATCTGTAGGCGTTAAAAATTACCTATGATTCCTAAACACAACTCAAGACAGAGAGTAGACGAATAACATCATTATCTAAGTCAGACAGGACTAGCCAAAGCAAAGAAGAATGCAAGACAGCACAAAAAATGGACTTGGAGCTGTCTCACAGTTAGTGAGATAACATCCTCTGTCTCGTATATCTGAGATAGCATCCCATATTTTCTGATGGTTTTGTGACATTTTGCAAGGACCACGTGGCTCCATAATTGCTTTGGAACGTTCATTAACGTTAGTGGATGGTTATATGCTGAAAATACGCCCACTACCCATAAAAAACATGGCATTTAATACACTTCAAGTATTGGAGCAGTGGTTACAAAGGTTCTGCCACTGTCTTCTTTAGCCGAGACAGTGGACACTGTCTCGCCTAAAGGAGACAGTGACCACCAATTGTTCCATCTTCTTTTCAACAGTTACGTCTTCAAAAGGCTATAAATACATCCCTTACACACTTGTAAAGAAGAAGGGACGATCTACTGAGATTATAAAGGCAGAGAGACGCTAGTGTTTGGCAAACTTTGAGCACAGGAGAGAGTTCTTCACCACTTTCAAGCAATCTCAAGAGCCCTTCGGTGTTTCCTCGAATTCAAGGTTTGACTTGTTCTCGAGATTAGTGTTCATCTTACTTTGTTAAGATATTCACTTCAGTTCTTGTTTCTACGTCGAAACATCAACTTTCAACCTTCTTCATTTCCGACTTGGAATGTTGATTCGATGGTCCATGGATTACGCATCCCTGGCACAAGCAAAGATCCCACACAAGCAGTGACTACTACATAGGAGTTTTTGTGTATGATTCTAGGGAGCACAAAAAAATTTGTTTTTTTTTTTTTTGTAAAGAAGAGTTTATACACGTGTAAAACTCATTCAATTGTTTCTGTTAAAATATTTTAATGGAAGCAACAAAGAAAATCGTTCCCGACATAAACACCTACATCTAGAACAACTAGATGTAAAAACAACATTTCTTCATAGAGATCTTGAGGAAGAAATTTATATGCTCTAACTAGAAGGTTTTGAAGAAAGGAAAAGAGAACTTGATTTGCAGGTTAAACAAATATATGTACAGTCTAAAGCAGGCGCCAAGGTGTTTGTATAAGAGAATTGATTCATTCATCATGAGCCTTGAATACAACAGACTTAATTCAGAACCTTGTGCATATTTCAAGAGATTTGGTGAAAATAACTTTGTTATTTTATTATTATGTGTTGACGACATGTTGGTTACAGGCTCCAACAAAGATCGTATCAAAAAATTAAACGCATAGTTGACTAGATAATTTGAAATGAAAGATTTAGGATCTACAAATATGATTCTAGGGATGCAAATTTATCGAGACAGAATTATAAAAAGATTTGACTTTCTCAGAAAAAATATTTAAAGAAAATCTTGCGGCACTTTAACATGCAAGAATGTAAGTCAATTTCTACCTCACTTCCTGTTAATTTTAAGTTATCCTTCACTATGAGTCCTAGCAGTGAAGAAGAGAGGATGGTGATGTCTCGAGTACTGTATGCTTCAGCAGTGGGAGGTTTAATGTTCGCTATGATTTGTACAAAACCAAACATTACACAAGCAGTAGGAGTGGTTAGACGATATATAGCGAATCCTTATAAAGAGTATTGGAATGCTATAAAGAGGATCCTAAGATACATTAAGGGAACCTCAAGTATTGCATTATGTTGTGGGGGATCAGATTTTATTATCAATGGATATGTTAATTCTGATTATGCAGGTGATCGTGATAATAACAAATCCACCACAGACTATGTGTTTGTACTTGCTAGCGGAGATGTAAGCTAGATTTCAAAACTACAGTTAGTTGTGGCTACATTAACAGCAGAAGTAGAATATGTAGTAGTTGCACAAGCTAGTAAAGAGGCGATATGGTTGAGAATGATACTAGAGAAACTCGGGCATGAACAAAAGAAGATTTTTCTATTTTGTTATAGTCAGAGTGTTTTACATTTGGTAATAAATTCAATCTTTCATTTAAAAACAAAACACATTCGAGTTTAGTACTACTTCGTTCGTGAGATAGTGGAAGAAGGAACAGTGGATATGCAGAAAATTCATACCAAAGACAACCTAACAGATTTTTTGATAAAAACAGTTAACACTAACAAATTTATTTAGTGTCGATCCTCTTGTGATCTATCGAAGACGTGAACAACATGAAGATGGTAAGATAGAAAGAATGGTGTGAAGATATGATTGATACTCAGTTAAATCTTCAAATGAGAGATTGATGGAATGTTACTGTGTCAGCAGTAAACACATATCTGCTACTATAATCACCAACCGCAGATCCACTAAATGTTACAGTAGCAATACTATAGTAACAGTGCGCGCCTACCACAAACTCACCTATATATAGTTCTCCCAAGCGTTAAGTTCAAATCATCCCAGAAACAATAACAACTCGACATATAGAAGAGTGAGAAAAAAGTAAAAAGAGTTTCTCCTTGTAAAGAGAGATTGTAACTCCTAAAATTTTCTCATAGTGGATTATTCTATCTTTGCCTGTGGTTTTTACTCCAAATTCATTTAGGGGGTTTTTTACATAAATTTTTATGTTCATTTTATTGCTTTTTGCTCTACTATTCACTAGGACCCTGCTCTATTGGGCTCCGGATTTGTCCCTACAACAACTTCTAAAAGAATTCTCTTCTCGTGTCCGTGGTTGTACATAAATATCATTTTTTGTTGAATCCATGAACTACCTGTATCCTAGTTTTTCAAAATTGTCCATTGTTTCTAATCTTGCCATATACATATTCTGTATCCATTTCCATACTTCACAGCGTATCAACATAGGCATGTCACACACACACGCACACAAAAAAGAAAAAAAAAAGGAATACTCAAACCATTTTACATACTGATACAGTTTATCGATTAAGCATTATGAAATGAACCATCAAAATTAGTACAAAAGAGGTCTGAGAGCAAACCTGAAAACACCATCAGGGTCTAGCGTGGCCCTCAGATAATTGCCTCCAGTAGCAGCAGGAACAGACCATAGCACGGGAATCGCCGTACCATTGGGATAAGAGAGAACAGCACTCCCAGTACTCTCATTGAACACAAGTTTATTGATCCCTGAACCAGATGTCGAAGTAGACCAATATGCATCGTACGCGAATGCAGTAGGATAAGCTACAGGATACAACACAAGATTCCCATCATCCTGCAACGTTAACTCGATGCGCCCTCGTGAATAATCATCATCCATGATCTTTGCATAGAGCTTCACCCCCTGGTTCAGTATTTGTCCGGGCAAAATTGTATCGGTCGGGTAGCAGAAGCTCTGCCAATCTGTACCTGAAAGCACGAAATTTCCATTATCGAGCATTGAGGCATACGTAGCAGTGTTCACACTAGCATTCCATATTTCTCGGCCTGTTTGGTCTGTAAGAGAGAGGTTTCCATCAAATGTTAACTCGGCTTTTGAGCCATTTCTTACTGGGGAATCTCTGTTGGCCATCCATACAACGGTTTTATTAGGAAGCTTGTTGAACCAAACGGCAAGGAGAAACTGAGAGGGATCTGTTTCGAGGGGAAGGAATCCAAAGGCGAAGTCACCGGATGGAGAAGGCCATGACGTTAGCTGAGTGAGGGGGGTAAAGGTGGTACCTAAGCTTATGTTCTGGTATCCTTGAGCTGAGAGGTTGTTTTGTGCAAGGAGAACAATGAGGAAGACGGAGTAAAAGGCAAAGGAGAATGAAGATGATGCCATTTGTTGTGAAACAAAGGAATTATGCTTCGTGTTGTATTGAAGAGAACCATTTGGCTTTTGTCTTTATAAATGCGTGTCAGTAGAAAAAGGTTAGGAAATGACAGAAAGGAAGCATGCGCTCGAATTGTCAAAGGAACATTAAATTTTGAAAATAAAAGTCACGCAGAGAAAATTCAATGATTCATAAGATGAAAGTATTAGTTAGCTTCTGGTGTCATTTCAAAGTTAATGCAGCCAAATAAAAATCAACAACATTCGTCGTTCAAGTCTTCTTCTAATTGCAGAAGGAAAAGAAATTAATGACGCGTGATATACGCATGTGTTGCGTCATCTCTACTCTTTCTTTTTAGTAAAATGTGAAAATTTATGAATTTGGAGAAGTCTGAATTTGTCAGAATTCCAAAAACCACTAACCATACCTCAACCCCGTTAGGTCTTGAATTTGAGGTGATTTCATCTATCTCCGTCCCGTTGGATATGTCTTGCGTTGAAACAATTCATGTTAAATTCTAGTTTAATTAGGATTAGAAGTTTGACTTGGACTAGAAAGGAAAATTACGATTGGAACTAAATTTCAATTAGAAGAGGGCTACGATTTGAATAACTCTAGTAAGTATCATGAAAAAAGAAATCCTATAGGAATTAGAATTGGTCAAAGAAATGAATTTTACTACGTAGGGTTAATTTTCGCTATCAGTCCTTTACATCTTTAATATTTTGAATCAGTCTTCCAGTTCATTAAGGCTATGTTTGGTTTGAGAGAAAGGGAGAGAAAAGAAAAGGAAAGAGAAAGTAAAAAGAAAGGAAAAGAAAAAGAAAAGAAAATGATATTCTTTCTATTGTTTGGTTAGAAAGAATATTGTAATGAAAGTTAAAAGAAAATTCATATGAAAATCATTTTCTCTTGTTTGGTTACCTTTCTAAGAAAATGAGGAAGAAAATTATCACAATATAATTTTAATTCATACTTTTTAGAATTATATTTAGATTTTAAACAATTTAAAAAACAATTAAATTAAATTGTGTTCTACCATATTTTTAAAAAAAATACATGTTACCGAACATGTTTGCACAATATTAACTCATTTCATGATATTAAACACAACCACAATTCCACTAATTAAAGAACAACATTTCTCACACATAATATTTACAGAAATAAATATCATGATATTCCTAATATCACTACAACAAAATACAACATTGCTGACGAAACAAAAACGTCGGCAAAAGTTCAAACAACGTCGGGAAAAATTTTTCCTGACGTAAAATGCAGCGTCACTAACGCGTCATCAAAAGTGCGTCAAGGAAAGTATTTAGCGACGCAAATACACTGCATCGCCAAAAGTACACTTTTGGTGACGCGTCATACGTCGGGAAAAGTATATCTTTTAGCGACGCATAATATTTTGTGTCGGCAAAAGTGTGCTTTTGGCGACGCACGCAGCGTCGGTAAAAGCTATGCGTCGGCAAAAGTATAGCATTTAGCGACGTAAAATTGTTCGTCGCTAAAAACTATACTTTTGGCGACGCAAGTTAGCGTCGGCCAAAGTTTAGCTTTTAGCGACACAGAATAAAGTGTCGCTAAAAACTATACCTTTGGCGACGCAAAATAGCATCGCTAAAAAATATTATTTTTGGCGAAGCTAGATAGCGTCAGCAAAAGTATTTTTTTTTAGTTGGTAAAAAGTATATTTTCATTGACACTAATTTGCATCACCAAAAGTAATATCTTTTCTGTCAACTACACTGAACCTGAACATCCACAACAAATTTGCTCCCATTCACATCAACAAAGAAACCAAACATCAAATTATACTCCAAACATGTTGCATATTAACAGCTAAAATAATATCGGTGCTTATTTTCACAATCATTAAAAATGAAACAAATAATAACATTAGTAAATAAATTTAAACGCAATTCTATTAAACAAATAACAAGTGTTTGACACATGTTTTATTAACAAATCCAACAATCATAATTAAGTAGATTTGAACAATAAAGACTACAGAATAGATGTCTTATCAACGTTGCAAGCCTTTCCTTCGTCACGTCTCTGGCTTCTTCTTCCCCCCTTCACCATCCATCTCCAACTTCTGTTGTGTAGCTGCAATGGAAAGAAATGTACTCAGTAAGACAAATAAAAAGTTAAAATTAAACACAAAAAGTGTACTCAGTAATGCTCTAACATATACTTTTTATTTATGTATTAATGAGTAAGATATTTATGCTGAAAGATTGCATAAAAAGAAAAATGTTAAGATATTCTATCACTACGTTCTCACCAAATAAACTAAGATATCGTGGTACAGGTAGAGACGCAACATTAACATCTATCAGACTACCAGACTAGTTTGCATTTGTTACAGAAAAATAAAATAGCTGGAATACAATCAATCGTTTGTACTCGAGCGAAATCAGGTATCATATTTTTCCACGACGAACAACAGGATTAATATTTTTCAACATCATATCAAGCCAGTAGTGTAGTTGCCTCCTACAAACAAGTTTTAGGATTTGAAATCCATAGTTGTAACAAACAAGTTTAAGGATTACCAAAATAATAAATGGTGAATATAAGAACTTTGGTGAGCTTACCTCCTAAAAAAAACAAATACAATTGCACAGTTAACCATCCCGGAAAACATCGCATCCTGGTATTATCACCTAGCTATACCAATGACACTGCCTCTGAAAGTTGCATCACATAGAGAGCTGTGTGAATTAGAATATTTGAAGCAGGCTCAGAGTAAGAAAATTAGTATTATGAGATTAAACTCCCTGATCATGAAGACAGCTTCCCAGCAAATATTTATTGAAATTTTTGTTGTGCTCCCCTCTGCCCTGCATGGATCAAGATAATTTGCACACTTGTATCCAAATCAGAATTCTACTCTCTGAACTGTTCAATATTGGAAAGGGTTAATTGCATATGTATGCCCACCCACCAACACATCCATGCATAGATAATTTACACATACCCACGCACCTGAACACCAACACATAACAGCCACAAGCACACACATTCATGCATACACTCGCACGCACACAAATACAAATGCACACCTGCACAATCACACGACCACATGCACCCCCCAATGCAAACACACAACCACCCACAGATCTCCCGCACCTATGGACGCATCCGACAAGCACCCAACCCAAGGCTCAGACAATGAACCATTAGAAAACTCATAATAGGACCAAGGTAGGGGCTCAGATACAGATATTAAAATTGAATACATGGATTGCCTCATCTAACAATGATGTTGCAATGTAGGTTGCAATCACATGAATGGATTGCCTCACCTAACATTGTAAATACAATGTTAGGTTGCATTCTCATCCTAGATTGCCCTACCTAAACATAGCAAAACATTGTAGATTGCATTCTCATAATATGACCATCATCATTGCCCAAATTCAACAATACAAAATAGCCATACCAATACATATCGTGCAATGTAGCCACAAACAAGCAAGATGGACCCAAGAACACAAATCAGAATTCTATATGCATTAGTTTTGTGGAAAACAGACTGGCAGCGTATAGCAAGCATTGGAGGTATGGCCTACAACAAACGTATAATAAAGATGCAAATATGTTCAAGTATATCTTTCTGAAACAGGATACAGAGGACGCTTGGACTAACAGAAATTAATAAGAAATGCCATTATATGACATAAAATAAATCAATGTATGAAATTAACAATGATGTGCCACGTACACCACGAGAAGTGCACAGGACATTGTAAACAAGCTATAACTCAAACAACAAAGGCTCGGACAAGCTAGCATGAACTCATCTCACCCATAATTGAACACCCAAGAGAAATGAGATTTTATATCAAGAACGTACACACATTTCTTTTTAAGATAATAACCATGAACTCATCTCACCCATACATACATGCACATACATACGCACATACACAAGCACACACGCACACATATACAGGCATACACACTTAAAACATTTCTGAATTCGTGTAAAACAACAATAAGGCAATATCAGCTAAGATAGTGCATTTGAACTAGTTGATCCAAAAACAAAACAACCATAAAGCTAAGATAGAATCAACTGGAGCAGAAGTGAAAACATCCCCAGAAATAGCAGCAGTCAGCATTCCTTCACCAACAAGCCCACAAGGAACAAACATGCTCAGAAAGCTTAATCTGAAACAAACATACGAAGGCAAGGGATCAATTAGAGGCCAATCATTCACGTCCTAAACGATGCAAGATTAAAAATCAAGCATCTGGTTATGGTGCACTCTTAAGATTTTTGACAACAACATGAAAAGAACACTACTAAAACCAGAGGGTCAAGGAATCATGGGTCAAGTGCTAATTGAATAGTTAATTTAGCATACTGGATTCCTACAAAAATGAGAGATAAAACTCATTGCTTCCTTCGAGCTCTGTTCATGGCATACTTGAGAGCCAGCCAATCTTTCACAATGGCACTGTAGGTCAACAAAATTTCCGGAACAGTATTTTGATCATCCTAGGAACAATAACTATATTACCAAAAGCATCGCAGGTAGAAGGCAAAAACTCACAAATCACAAGTAACTTTTGTTTCTTGTCGACAACATTAGATATTGTCGTATCCCCTCTCAAGCTAAACAAAATTACCATACAGCACACAGTACAGAGATACCCAGACTTAAAGCCTCAAATTTTAAGTTCAATAAACCACACCAGCAACCAATACACGGTACTATTTTATCTATGAATGTCCCATAAATGATTTGCAAGTTTTCAAAACACGGTACAGGTTTGTAACGAAATTGTTTTGCTCCAGGATGTGTCTATTAAGGCCACAAAGAAAACACAAAATAGTCAAACTAATATAGCAAAATATTATTATTATGATATAATATTTATTAAAAAAATTGAGGAGCACTTTCTAAAACCTGTCTATGTGATTAAAAATCTTTATAAATATCAATTATGGAACTGTGCCAGTTCACAATTTTGTCCAGTTTGCTGGATTTATCCCTCCTGT